AGGAAGTTGGAATGGTAGTAGATCACAAGCTGAATATGAGCCCACACCACCTTGTGACTTTGACAAATAACTCTGCATAACAAGCTCATGAAAAAAACAACTCTTTCTGAATTCAGCTTACACAGAACCTAAGAGATTCTATCTTAGTATAAGTGCATTTTCCAGTTTCCTTCTATTTCCTTACAATATTACAAGTGAGAAGGAAGTTGGAATGGTAGTAGATCACAAGCTGAATATGAGCCCACAGTGTGAGGTGACAGTTTCCTTCTATTTCCTTACAATACTACAAGTGAGAAGGATGTTGGAATGGTAATAGATCACAAGCTGAATATGAGCCCACAGTGTGAGGTGGCAGCAAAAAAGGCCAATGCTATTTTAGAATGCTTGGACAGAAGTCATCTAAGCGTTCAGCCTGGAGGCAGGCGGTGCATCACGGCCTCTCCCAATTTGAAGAGACCCTTATCCAGCAGGCCGAGGCCAAGAGGCAGTCCTGAAAGCAGCAAAATCAGGGAGCTGGACAGGGGACAGATTGGATTTGTCTTCAGTGTGGAGGGGACTGTCACTCTAAAATTGGCCTCCTCAGCCACACTAGATGCTGTTCCAAGACAGAGCGCGTTACCATAGTCTCTTGGGACTAAGGATGCCTACATGACAGAAGTATAGTCTCCAGATCCCACAAGGTGCTAGTCCCCCTCTATTCGGCAGTGGTTAATCCTCACCTTGAGTACTATGTCCAGTTGTGAACACCAGACTTTAAGAAGGATGCAACAAACTGGAGTAAGTTCAGAGAAGGGCAACAAAGGATGATCAAAGGAACTGGAAATCAAGTCTTAGAAGGAAACACCAAAAGAGCAGAGCATGCTTAACGTTGAGAAAAGAAGACAGAGGAGAGATCTGATAGCACTTTTCAGATACAGTGGTGCCCCGCTAGACGATGACCTCACAAAACAATGAATCTGCATGATGGTGAGTTATTGCGATCGCTATAGCGCTTCACAAAACAGTGTTCCCTATGGGCGATTTTCACTGGACAATGTTTGGGTCCGTGCTTTGCAGACCATTTTTTGCAAGACGATGATTTTAACATGATCGGCGCTTCGCAAAAGGGTGTTTTCGGGACCGATGCTTCACAAGACAGCGATTTTAACAGCTGATCGGCGCTTCACAAAATGGCTTCCCTATGGGCGATTTTCGCAGAACGACAACGATTTTCTCCCATTGGAACGCATTAAACGGATTTCCATGCATTCCAATGGGGAATCGCATTTCGCAAGACGATGTTTTCACAAGACAGCGATTTCAATGGAACGAATTAACATTGTCTTGCGGGGCACCACTTACCTGAAAGGTAGCCAGACAGAGGAGGGGCAAGATCTGTTCTCAATCATCCCAAAGTTCAGGACACACAACCATGGGCTCAAGTTACAGTAAGCCACATTTTGGTTGAATCTCAGAAAAAAAAACTTCCTAAGTGTTAGAGCAGTAGGTTGAATCTCAGGGAAAAAAAACTTTCTAAGTGTTAGAGCAGTATGACTGTGGAACCAGTTTCCTCGAGAGATGTGAATGCTCCAACATCAGAGACATTAGACAACCCCCTGTCAGATATCCTTCAATTTGCAGGGGGTTGGCTGGATAGGCCCCTTCCAAATCAATTATTCTGTGATTCTGTGTTTCTATGGTATCTGGGGTATTTACTCCCGGTATTTGTAAGAGAGCCAATCTTCTGCTTGGATAGCCAGGATACATCACGATGGCCATGGGGGGTCACAAGCTACACTTGACAAGCTGGTGCCGTTTTCTCCACCGTCCACCCCCAGGGAGGAGAAATAATGGGGGGTAAGCTGTCAATAGGAACCAGTCCAGAGGTTTTGAAGAGGGAACGGTGGTGAGGCTAGAAATCCTGTGTTCGAATCTTGCCTCTGATCTAGGTAGCTTTAGACACCATTATCCCCATGGTCCTTGGAAATCCTGCGTTTTGGACTAAGTATCCCCTGCCCCATGCTGGCAAAGGGAATTATGGGAGTTGTAGTCTAAAATCTAAATCCAATGGCTAGACCTGTTAAATCAGTTGCTGATCAAGGAGCCAATGCTTATGTAAACTCCACTGGTTCGCCCTGTCTGTTCTGTTGTGATTGTCAGTTTCAGACTCTAAAAATCATATTTATTTTATTTTATTTTGCCCCCCCTCAGCTCTCTCTCTTTCTCTGTTAACCTCAGCCTGCCATACGTCGTATAGGAATAAAAATACCAGGATATCTTACAAGGATGTTCTATGGCAGTAGAACCTGGAGCCCTCTTAAGAGCTTCTGAAGGGCTATTTAAATGCTATGTATTACTGTTAATTATAACTACAGTGAATCAATATCCTTATCGATGTCTCTAAGTGATCCTGCCCTCCCATTTAGCAGCCCGCCTCGGGGCGAAGAGTCAAAAAACGAGTGCCAGGCGTAATTGTGGAGTGCCGTATCCGCACCTCTTCCCGTTTAATGGGAAGCCCACCTGCTAGGCTCCTCCAGTTGGGGTGTGTGCAAAGAATTTAAAGGAGTTTTCAGGTCTTCTTCTCTCTTTTTCAAGCCCTCTTGCAAAGATGGCTGCTTCCCAAATGGCCCTCTCTCCCCGAAAAATTGCATTTTAGGACTGCCTGCAATAAAATCTGTATTGCAGGCATAAATTAGCCGTGAACTGGCCCAGGAAACCCGCTGCCTTGCTCTGCAGGTAAGTCTCAGCCAGCGTTCTCTCCCAGCGATGCCTTTTTACAGAGTGCAGTTATTACAAGCTTTAAATATACTAAAAAAAGGCCCGTTGCATGCCATGAAGCTTGCTCCTTCCAGCGTCAGTGGGTGCAGGATTGCAGCCCGAGGCGCCGGGTGAGCACCAAAAGCGACTTGCTTCACACACTGCAGAGGCTGCGGCAGGATGATGACGAAGCCAGTGCTTTTCTGGGGGAACCTGGCATGGGAGAGATGGAGCAGAGACTTCAGGAACGCACGAGGAGAGGGTGATCTTTGACGGGAGGACAGGAGTGCGACAGGCACAGTCCTCTTTTCACGAGCGACGTGTTAGCCAGTGGGTCAGCATTGAAGGAGATGATGAAGTCTGGCCACCACTTAGATTTTCATTGGTGTACCTGTTAAAAGAAAGAGGGTGACAGTTTCGTTCATCATCAGGGAGCCCAAAAATCTAATTCAGCGAAGTTTAAATCGGAGCCAACAAATCCTTTAGAAGTTGAGTTGATGTTAATTCCCTGTCCACTTACCATAGAAAAAAGGGGAAAGCAATCCATGGTTTTACTTCTCCTCCTCTGTCCTTCTTTTGAGCTTAGGAGAGAAGGAAACAAGTCCACGATTTTTTGAAAACCTCTTCCCCCTTCCCTCCATCCCTTATAATTGCACGTTTCCCCACCTTTATTATCTTGCTGGTTCTTGAGGGGAGGTCACTGGAACCCGTTGTAATGGCTCTTGCCTTTCCACTGGACTATTGCAGCGACGTGGAGAGGGGGGATTTGCTGCTTGGGTAACAGCCTATCCTCCATATGATTTTACCCAGACTTCGTGCTCTGGAGAGGACACTCCAGCTTCGCGTACAGCGTCGAAGCAAAATCAGGGAGCTGGACAGGGGACAGATTGTATGGAAGGGATGGTCACTCTCAAATTGGCTTTCTCAGCCACACTAGATGCCGTTCCAAGGCCTCCGTTCAAAGCACATAACCATCGTCTCTCGAGACTGAAGGATGCCTACACGCATCTCAAGGGGATCCCAAGGGTAGTTCCAGGGTTCCGAAATTCAGTGACCTGGGACCAATCCAGAGCCTCTCCATGGTGCCCAGTGGAGAACCCAACAGGACTGCCATCTTCCTGCAGAGAAACCTCCCCCGCCCCGTATTTCAAATCGACCTTGTCTCTTTTCCGGTCCATGAGAGTTGCTGGGCCATCTTTTGGCCGGAGCTGGCTCTTCTGCTGGGCATCAGGTCTTCGGGATCTCCACCAGAAGGATTTCCTGGCACCTATTGCACAGGGTCAGCCCAAGCAGAAGGGAAACCTGGCGATGCTAGGGGTATGCTAGGAGTATGATAGTGGAAATGGCGTACAACCTGAAAAGTTTTTATCCCAAATGGCTTCTGAAAAGGTCATGCGGTCCTCTCAAAATGTAACTTTTTGAAGTGATGGGTTTTTAAAAAATATTTGCATACTTATTGTTCTTAGTTTTAATATTGCCTTTTAGAATGGGAGATGCCTCTTTATACTCATTGTTTCCAACTTTAAATATTGTCTTTCAAGGATTTTAAGCCACCGTAGGTCCTTGTCAAGGAGAAAGGCTGGGTAAAAATATTTTAAATAAACATAATAAATAAACACTCATTACATCAAACTATTTCTTATGTCTAGACAGTTACTGCATAACTACGCATTGCATTGTCTGTTATCTAAAAGTAACTACCCTGTTTCCCTGAAAATAAGACCTAACCTGAAAATAAGCCCTAGTATGGTTTTTCAGGATGCTCATAATATAAGCCCTACCTCAAAAATAAGCCCCAGTTAAGTGAAACCCTGCCCTCCACCATTGTGCAGCAACCAGAAGACGATAACAGGGCGGTATTTGAATAAATGTAGATGGTTGTACATGGAAAAAAAAACCATCCCTGGAAACCAAGCCCTAATGTGTTTCCTGGAGCAAAAATTAATATAAGACCCTGTCTTATTTTCAGGGAGACACAGTAGTTAGAGGTAATCATGTTCGTTGTGTTGCTGCTCCATTCCCGGATTCTCTGGCATGGCACCGAGGTATCAGGTGGAGGAAGGCAACGTAAACTCATTGAGTTAGGAGGGACCTTTAAGGCCATCAAGTCCAACCCCCTGCTCAATGCATGGAGATGCAGAGACGATGAAGTGATGTTCTAGCACTCAACGTGTCTTGTTTCAACTGCTGATCCAATGCCTGTCTTCTTGCCAATGACTGGGAATCATGATTGGATGACACTCATGTGTGTTTTTTCCTCCTAGCCTCTCCCTCGATCAAGCTCCTGGTGGACGACCCCATCGTGGTGAACCCAGGGGAGGCCATCACCTTGGCGTGCGTCACCACAGGGGGCGAACCGCTCCCGACTCTCACCTGGGTGCGGTCTGTCGGAGCCTTGCCCGAGAAGACCGTCCTCAAGGGCGGAACCTTGACCATCCCCACCATCAGCTCCGACGATGCCGGCACCTACAGCTGCATCGCCAACAATAATGTCGGGAATCCTGCAAAAAAGTCCATCAACATCATTGTGCGAGGTAAGAGCTCCCTGGAAATGTAGTATTTGCTGTTCGGTTGATCCGCTTTGTCATAACTGGACCAGATCTCGTTGGCCAGCATGATGGCATTCATGCAAGATCAATGCCAATATGGGATTCTCGGAGGAGTTGACCTCTTCGGTAGAGGAGCGGCGATGTGAGAGGCTTAAGATGTTATAGGATGTTATTGAGGCCTAGAATGGAGGGTGGGGACTGTGCACCCTTGTTTTGAATAAATAAGAATCATTGAATTCTAGCAATTTTTATTTGTTGACTCATTGAACTTAAAAATGTCCCCCAAGGGCCTAGAGACACTAAGATTGCAGAGAAGTTTCTCCTGACTCTCCTCTACAACCCCTCCAAGTTTGGTGGAGATTTGGCTTCAGATGTCCAAGTTATGCATTCACAAAAACACACACACATGGAAAATCACCCCAAGAGACAAAGACACCAAAAACACAGATAGACTTCTACTGATTCTTTTCTACAATCCCTCTAAATTTGGTGAAGACTGGGTTTCCCCAAGCCAGCTGCTAATGGGTACTTTCCTGGGGGGGGAGGCACTCAGTTTGTGGGTGTATAACTTGGATGTCCAAAACCCAAACTTCACCCAACTTGCAGGGTTTGTAGGAGAGAGGTCAGGGGAAGCTTCTGTGTCATGTTGGTTCTCTGGGTACTTGTGGGGCAGGGGCGGGGCGGCATTTTTTAGGATTTTAAATGTAAAAATAAATTGACAAATGAATGCATCAATTTGTTAGGAAAAAAATGTAAATTTGTGATTCGTCAACCTTGATAACAAATGCATCAATTTGTTAGGAAAAAATTGTAAATTTGTGATTCGTCAACCTTGATAAAATCACGAATCACAAGAGCTTGCCATTTTTTCCCCCAATTCGTGCCCATCTCTAGCAGGGGGGGGAAAGCGTTAAGCAGAAAGGTCTGGCTCTCTGCAAAATCTGAGGAAGGGAAGGAAGGACGTGTTCCTGCAGAATTGATTGACCGTCACCCCACTGCGCCACAAGGCCTTTATCCCCTTTGCATCCTGCCTGTCAGTTTTCCAGGGGTGTGGCGACGGTGGCAGTCATTTTGATGGGTCCACCGCATGAACAGAAAGTTGGACTAGATGGATCCAGCACAACCTTTCCAGGTAGGAGGCATTCAGAGGTGCTTCTGAATGGCCAGAATTGCTGAGGACACCATGGCTGGCCAGGAAGGAGGCATTCAGAGGTGCTTCTGGCCGGAATTGCTGAGGACACCATGGCTGGCCAGGGGATTCTGGGAGTCGTAGTCCTAAACAGTTATGCTTCCCATCTCGGCTTTTGACAGGCACGGTAGCACAGAACCATCGTGATTATCTGCCGTTGATCCAACAATCCTCCCCTTCCTATTTGCTCTCAGGATTTTACTGTGACCTGGTCACATTGATTTTTCTGTATGCCCTGCCAGTGATACTATCCAGATATTGAATAAACACAGTCTTGTAACTGCTGTTCTCAGTGAGAAAACCTAAGAGTGAAGGACGTGGGATTCTCTGCCATTTTTTCCATAAGAAGACCCCCCCCCACCTCCCCCAAAAAGACCCTCTTCAGCTGTGGCTGGGTGGTTGTGTGGAGGGGTTGCTATCCGTTGCTTAGCATCCACATCCTGGATTAATCTACTTGCACCAAGTAATTCATCTGAAACTGTTTCTCTGTAATCCAATATGTCTGTAACACTGAAGCGCAAACTGCTTTACGGTGGGGACTGTTAGTAATAACGAGAGATTAATCATACTTCGGCAGGATCTGGAGAAGCCATGGCATGATTATTTTATGATGGCCGTAACCTCTGTTTGCATTTCATTACCCGGCACATTCAGAGCGGGGAGTTAATGAATATTCACGGATTTTCTCAAGCTTGTCGGGAAAAGAGTGTCACGATACATTGAGACACCCTGGTGAAAAATGGTTTTATCTGGTGCAAGATTTTTCACTCCTGCTTGAGAAGTGAAAGTCCAGCGCTGTTTCCATCATCATCCGAGTCAGCTTAAATATATATATTTTGGGGAACAAAAAAAATGCAAAAAGATAAATTCTGCACGTGTTTTATAAAAAAAAACGTACAGTGCAAATAAATTGTGCAAAACTCATCAACGTGTCATTGGTAGATAAGTTTGTGGACAACTGCAATGAAAAGCAATGTTTTGATCAGTGGCTGTGTTTCTATATTGCATCAACTGTCTGATCCTGCCACCTTGAATGTCCCAGAGGTCGTCTGGCATCAAGAACAGTTATTTTTAGGAAGAATATTCCAAGAAATATGGGGGATTACCAAGTGAAATTGGGGGGAAAACTCCATCCTTTATTCCTGCAGAGCTTTTGATGGCACCCAGAGTCGACCGTACGGGGAGAAATGGAACAAGGGTCTGACTCAGGAGAAGGCAGCTTTTCTTGTAGGTTGGGACATATCCCGCATGCTCACAAGAAATCAGAAAAATAGCAGGAGCGACCAGAATTCTCTAACTTGCCCTGGCCAGCAGAGCACGTAAATCACTGTTCCCTCGTTAAGAAGTTGAGGCATGTCGTGATGGTCAGATACGAGTCACCTGACTCGGCCTCTGACAAGGAATAGAAGTGCCAATTCCTTAACTGACATCTATTCACTGCAACAATTTATTACAGCTTGACTTTTACGGCTGGGGGCAAGGCATCGGATTCTATGTGCAAAGTAAAGAGGAAGGCGCCGTTTTCACATATCCCTCCCGTGAAGCTGGATGTCTTTATCTGTCATTTAGGTTTTTGTTTCTTCCGTGCAGGCTGCGTTCGGTGTTCGAGGTACCCGCCATCATTTGAGATTCTGTAAGAGGCAGCAAAACTGCAAAGCCCAGCTCCCCTTTGGATGCAGATTTCATGAGTCATGGCATAATAAACTAGCCCTCCCTGCATGTTTATTCATAGCAGCACAAGCCTGGGAGCATCACGAGACTGAACAAAGTATAATTAAAATTCTGTCTTGATTTTA